CTAGCTACTTGGGAGGCAGAGACAGGAGACTTGCTTGAGCCCAGGAGTTGGAGGTTGCTGTGAGCAGTGAAGCCATAGCACTCTACCCAGGGGAACAGCTTGAGGCTCTGTCTCAAAAAATAAATAAATAAATAAATTCTGAGAGAGATAAGATTGACCAGAAAACTGGATATTGTCCTAAGGAAGTATGTTTCAAATTGTAAAGTTTCAGAATAGAGCAGTTGAAATGGAGAGAGAGTAGTGTGGTAGTATTCTTTTCATCTTTGTTCCTTCTGCTTTCCTTTTAGTGTGGGATGTGTCATTTGCTGCCTGGTTTATTGCCATTCTTAAGTTTTCTATTTATTTTTGCCCAGGGCTGGGTTTGAACCCACCACCCCCGGCATATGGGCCCAGTGCCCTACTCCTTTGAGCCACAGACACCACTCATCATTCTTACCTTTTCAGTCTACCTTCCATGTCAGCGTTAGATTATTCCCCGTCTCCACTCTGCCTTTCCCTTGCGTGCAACGCTCCTGCTTACCACATCTAGGCTGAGATTTTCTGCCTCTCATTGCACACCCTCTAGTAACTTATCTATTCTCTGCCTCCGTGCATCCCCAGCCACTCTCGGTGCTTATCTGTCCCCTTTGCTTTGGTCTCCGTCTGAAGCTCTGACCTACCTCTTACTGTTTCTGTCTTCTGTAATTCATATTGTTCTTTCCTGTTCATTCTTTCAGTAAACATTCATTGACCACATCAAAACTTCTATAGCTCTTTCAATTTGTGCCGCTTGAACTTTTTAAAATTTCTTTCTCTTCTTATTTATTTATTTTTGCAGTTTTTGGCCAGGGCTGAGTTTGAACCCACAACCTCTGGCATATGGGGCCTTACCCCTTTGAGCCACAGGTACCGCCCTTCTTGACATAGATGCTTGCTTTGTTGCCTTCGGTAGAGTGCCATGGCGTCATAGCTCACAGCAACGTCAAACTCGGGCTCAAGGGAGTCTCTTGTCTCAGCTTCCCTAGTAGCTGGGACTATAGGTGCCCGCCACAATGCCTGGCTGTCTTTTTGTTTGTTTTAGCAGGCCCAGGCTGGGTCTGAACCCACCAGCCCTGGTGCATGTGGTCAGCACCCTAACCCCTGAGCTATGGGCACCCCTGAACTTTTTTCTTTTTGAGACAAAGTCTGTCACCCTGGGTAGCGAACCATGGCATCACAGCTCACAGCAACCTCAGACTCCTGTGTTCAACCTATCCTGTCAGCCTCCTAAGTAGGTGGGACTACAGGTGCCCACCCCAATGCCAGGATAATATTTTTCTATTTCTAGTAGAGACATATAAGTAGTAGAGACATGGTCTTACAGTCTCCCTCTTGTTCAGGTTGGTTTCAAACTCCTATGCTCAACGGATGCCCCTGTCTCAGCCTCCCAGAGGGCTGGGATTACAGGTGTGAGCTCACGCCTGGCCCACTAAAATGTTTAATTACTTACGGCTTTCAGTAGTTCTTTTTTGTTGTTGCTGTTGAGACAGTCTCACTATGTTGCCCTCAGCATAGTGCCGTGGCATCATAGCTCACAGCAACCTTAAACTCTTGGGCTCAAGCAATTCTCTTGCCTCAGCCTCTGAGTAACTGCCATAGCACCTGGCTATTTTTAGACTATTTTTAGAGATGGAGTCTCTTGCTCAGGCTGGTCTGGAACCTGTGACCTCAGGGCAATCCACCGGCCTTGGCCTCCTAGAGTACTAAGATAACAGACATGACCCACCGTGCCCAGCCTCACCTGGACTCATATATGTGGCTGCAGTTGTCTAGAAGCATGAATGGAGCTTATGATCAAGTATGATCTTACACCTTTGTTAGAATGCCAGTTGTAGGCTCGGCGCCTATAGCTCAACCGGCTAAGGCGCCAGCCACGTACACCTAAGGTGGCGGGTTCGAATCCCCAGCCTGGACCCGCCAAGCAACAATGACGGCTGCAACCAAAAAATAGCCGGGCGTTGTGGCGGGCGCCTTTGGTCCCAGCTACTTGGGAGGCGGAGGCAGGAGACTCGCTTGAGCCCTGGAATTGGAGGTTGCTGTGAGCTGTAATGCCACGGCACTCTGCCCAGGGGGACAGCTTGAGGCTCTGTCTCAAAAAAAAAAAAAAAAGAATGCCAGTTGTAATACCTTAATTCCTATCCACATGTTCTCTCCAGGATGCTAGCTTAACCTTGTTTAGATTGAAATAGCATTCCCAGTGTGCCAGAGTAGAGAGAGGTTTGAGTAGTTTGAGAGTTTCTTCTTTTTATCTTCTTCTTTTTCTTTTTTTTGAGACAGAGTCTCAATCTGTCACCCTGGGTGGAGTGCCATGGCATCGTAGCTCACAGCAACCTCAAATTCTTGGGCTTAAGTGATTCTCTTGCCTCCGCCTCCTGAGTAGCTGGGACTACAGGTGCCCGTCACAATGCCCAGCTATTTTTTGTTGCAGGTGTCGTTGTTTAACAGGTCCAGGCCGAGTTTGAACCCACCTGCCTCAGTATATGTGGCCGGCGCCCTAACCACTGACCTATGGGCGCCATGTCAGTAGTTCTTTTTCTTATTGTAGGTCTTCCCTCCCTTGCCTCTACCTCCCAATTTAATTATAAACTCCTTGAGTCTGAGGACTTTGCCTTAGATTTCTTTGTTTCCCATACATTACAGGAACTCAGTACTAAACAACCTACTGATTGATTGAGGTAAAGGTCAGTAGACATTTATGGAGCCCCTACTATGTGCTAGACTCTGGGGAATAGCAGGAAGATTAAGGTACTTTCCCAGCCCTCAAAAAGTTTAAGTCAGGGCAGTGCCTATGGCTCAAAGGAATAGGGCACCAGCCCCATATACTGGAGGTGGTGGGTTCAAACCTGGCCTTGGCCAAAAATTGCAAAAAAAAAAGTTTAAGGGCAGCGCCTGTGGCTCAAATGAGTAGGGCACCAGCCCCATATGCCGGAGGTGGCGGGTTCAAACTCAGCCCCAGCCAAAAACTGCACCCCCCCCAAAAAAAAAGTTTAAGTCATAAATGCATAAAATTAGATAAATTTATAAAGTAAAATGTCTGTCTGATAGGATCATATAATCAGGCTGCAGGCTAGTTAGTACACAGTAGGGAAGGGACTTAACACAGCCAACCACAGCTAAAAGAAAGCTATCAATGTCCTTGCTAAATTTCCTTTCTTTATAAGCCACATGGAACCATTTTCTTATAATCCCAGCTGTGTCATTTCTGCTTTCCAAACCAAGCTCGGGACTCTTTGGTTCTATTTGGTACTCTATGGGTTAATAGACAGAGCATCAAAGGTTCAATTGCCACCTTGGAACTAAGTTGTTTGTAATGTGCTCCAAACTCTTGGCCTCCTCTCCAAGACAAAGGAATGTGGGCCAGACTCATCCTCTCTAGTAATGTACACTTGGGTAGGGCATTACACTTCTCCGAATCCTTCTCATTTCATTCGAGCCTCACGTTAACCCTGCAAAGTAGTGTTTTCTCTTGAGGACTAAGTAAATGATTACCAAGGGCAGTTTCATTACAACCTGGCACTACAGAGGAAACACCATTAGGGAACAAGTTCACTTTTTCTAGAGTCTGATGCTAAGATGGAAGGATTTGGCTTTAATTTCATTTGCATATCTGGCCTACTACATTTAATAAATGTCCATGATGTGGCATTTCTCAGGTCTCCTGGCTCCTAATTTACTCCTCTTTACAGCACGCTAAGAGAGAATCATCCAACTCTCTCGAGTTCAAAAGTTTTACCTCATTCAAAGCTCTTTTGGGCACTATGGAACTAAGAATCTAATGCTTAGAACTGGGTTGGTTGGGACTGCTGCTCTTCCTTATATGAGAGAAATTGGGTTGGGACTTGCCTTAATGGGATTCTTTTGTTTGCAGATTGGCTCTACCAGTGCACCTGGACAGGGAGGAATCCTGGCTCAGCGAGAATTTGATAGACGATTCTCCCCCCACTTTGTAAGCTTTCTGGTTTTTCTCTCAACATTTTTCTGATATGAGAATGCCATTTTGGTTTTGGAATCTCTTGGCCTCCATAGAAGATTTATTCTGTTGGTTGGTTTTTTTTTTTTTTTCCCCCTCAAGCTGTTGCCCTGGATAGAGTGCTATGGTGTCATAGCTCAGAGCAACCTCTAACTCTTGGGCTCAAGCGATCCTCTTGCCTCAGTTTTTCTATGTTAGTAGAGATGGGGGTCTCACTTTTGCTCAGGCTGGTCTCAAACTTGTGAGCTCAAGCTATCCACTTGCCTCAGCCTCCCAGAGTGCTAGGAGTACAAGCATGAGCCACCATACCCGGCCTATTGGTTGGTGCTTGTCTTATCTGTTTTTATAGTTTCTAATATAGATAGCTTTCTCATATATCCTGATTTAACCATTCCCAAAGATTTTTGGCAATGAGATCACAATTTCTAGAACCATAAAACCAGCCTTTTTTCTCTACTCAGCCTCGAATAGAGGACCATCTGAGGGTCCTGAGTCTATTTTGAGTTTTAAAAAAATATCTGGGCTCGGAGTCTGTGGCTCAAGTGGCTAAGGTGCCAGCCACATAACACCAAAGCTGGTGGGTTCAAATCCAGCCTGGACCTGCCAAACAATGACAGGTGCAACCAAAAAATAGCCAGGCATTGTGGCGTGCGCCTGTAGTCCCAGCTATTTGGGAGGCAGAGGTAGGAGAATCGCTTGAGCCCAGGAGTTGGAGGTTGCTGTGAGCTGTGATGTCACAGCACTCTACCCAGGGTGACAGCTTGAGGTTCTGTCTCAAAAAAAAAAAGTATCTGATTAGATTCAAAGGGTCATGGAGCATTGGAAAGGGTAAGTAGGAACTTTGTTGTGGTCTACCACTGGAGAGAATTTTTTTAACATTTGTCTAAAGTACTAAATGAGAGAATTCATTCAGTTAAAGTTCTGAATTATATGCTCATTCTGTGTTCTACTTTGGGAAAACAATGATGAATAAGACATTCCCTTTCATTAAAGATCTTCTGAGCTGGCTTGGCACCTATGGCTCAAGCGGCTAAGGCACCAGCCACATACACCTGAGCTGGCAGGTTCAAATCCAGCCCAGGCCCACCAAACAATGGCGGCTGCAACCAAAAAATAGCCAGGCATTGTGGCAGACGCCTGTAGTCCCAGCTACTTAGGAAGCAGAGGCAGGAGAATTGCTTAAGCCCAGGAGTTGAAGGTTGCTGTGAGCTGTGATGCCACGGCATTCTACCCAGGGTGACAGCTTGAGGCTTTGTCTCAAAAAAAAAGAAAAGAAAAAAAGATCTTCTGAGCTCATAGATGACTCAGAACAAGTAAATGGAGAAGATGCTGTGATGATGTCATATGCTGGGTACTAGAGAAATATGAGCAGGAACATCTAATCTGTCTTTGGAAGTCAGAGAGTGTTTTCCAGATCCCAGCACTCTGGGAGGCTGAGGCAGGTAGATCACTTGAGTTCACAAGTTCCATACCAGCCTGAGTAAGAACGAGATCCTGTCTCTAAAAAACTAGCTGGGCATTATGGTGGACACCTGTAGTCCCACCTACTCAGGCTGAGACAGGAGGATCACTTGAGCCCAAGAGTTTGAGGTTTCTGTGAGATATGACGCTATAGCACTCTAGGGGCAACAAAGTGAGATTCTGTCTCAAAAAAAAAAGTGTTTTCTGGAAGAGGCCAGGCATTTTAGGAAAGGACATGCGAAAAGGCATGATGTGATCCAGGAATGCCAAGTGGCTCATCAGGCTGGAGTATAGAATATGAGGTGGAGGAACGGAAGCGAGGGGGCACGGGGTATAAGCAGGAGTTAGGTCACAGGCAGCTTAGCTATAGGGGCAAGACTTGGGCATCTCCATTGTCAAAGACTGCCTGGAAGAAAGAAGATTCTTTCCCAGTCTGGGTTGGGTCAAGTGAGGCCTTTTGCTTCATAGCTTGAAAGATGAATTGGTCTTTAGACAGCTGTTGTGTATCATGAGTGGTCAGAGAAGAACCTTCTTGGCCAAAGTTTTACTTAAAATTGGGCTAGACTGTTCCCTTTCTCAATGGATTCATTCCTTCCCTGTCTTCTCCTGAGCCCTAATTCAGACTTCTAAGCAAGGCCTTTATTTTCCTTGGCAGCTGGACTGGGCAGCTTTTGGGGTCATGACACTTCCATCCATCGGCATCCCCCTGCTCTTATGGTACTCCAGCAAGAGGAAGTATGACACTCCCAAAGTGAGGAAGAGCTGAGTGGGTGCTCCATGGCCTCCTCTCCCATGAAATCCAGGTGCTTTCCAGACTCCAAAGGATATCTCAGATGCAGTCTCTTCTCCCTTAGCCCTTGGCCACCTTCTCCTGGATCCTGACCTGCTCTCAGCCAGAGTGAAAGACCAGGCCTTGAAGTCCACAAGAGCCTCCTTGATTACAGCATGAAGCCATACAAACAGGAACATCTTTGGCAACAGCCCTTGAACCTAGAGGCCCTCTGGTGCCCCAATGAGCTGCTGCTGTTATATTGCTGGCAATGAGAATTCTCTCAGGGGTCCAGAGCACGGTGTGGGGGCACTTCAGAGATTGCCTGACACCACCCCATCCCTTACCTTCCCCTCTCAAAGAGGGAAGAAGATGAAATGAAAGCTATGGGACTCTCGGAGGCTACCCAGTCTCTGTTCTGGGTTGGGGAGGTACTTACTCAATGGGATTTTCTAATAAAAACAAATGCCACACAAACTTGTCTATCTTCCTGTCACCTAGGTAAGCACAGGTTGTTGGAACACAGGTCCCAAGTGCCTGGGCTCCTAGGCAGGTGAGCTGAGCTCTGGCCTTGGTGTAGGAGTTGTGAGTCTTGTTTCCCCCTTTTGAATCCTTTGTTCCCATCCTGTTTCCCTCTCTGATTTCCCTCTTTTTTTTTTTTGAGACAGCCTCAAGCTATCATCCTGGGTAGAGTGCTGTGGCATCAAAGCTCACAGCAATCTCCAACTCCTGGGCTTAAGTGATTCTCTTGCTTCAGCCTCCCAAGTAGTTGGGACTACAGGCACCCACCACAATGCCTGGCCATTTTTTGGTTGAAGTTGTCATTGTTTGGCAGGCCTGGGCTGGATTCAAACCTGCCAGCTCTAGTATATGTGGCCAGCGCCTTAGCCACTTGAGCCACAGGTGCTGAGCCTCTGATTTCTTTCTACACTCACCACCTCTGCTCCTATACCTCTGCCTGTTAGTCCCTCTCACAGCTCAAGAAGATGGGCTGGAGAAAGACAGGCTTGCAGAGGTGCAGCTGTTCTCACTCCCTGGGAGTAATTCTGGTGTGATTTACTGACTGCCCATTCTTTTTTTTTTTTTTTTTAAAGAGACTCCTACAGCAAGGCCAGAGCTCGCTGTGGCATCATGACGCACAGCAACCTCCAGCTCTTGGACCTAGGCAATCTTCCTGCCTCAGCCTCCTGAGCAGCTGGGACCCGCTACAACGCGCGGCTATTTTTTTGTTGCAGTTTGGCCAGGGCCATGTTCAAACCTGCCACCCTCGGTATATGGAGCCAGCACCCCACTCACTGAGCCACAGGCACTGCCCCTGACTGAACATTCTTGAAAAGATACCCCTCTTGCCTGATTCTAGCCCTTTTTCTGGTTAAGAACTAACTTTGGACAACCACATTGATCCTAGTTCTTTGGGTGGTTGAGGTAGGAGGATCACTTGAAGCCAGGAGTTGAAGAACAGCCTGGGCAATACTAAGACCTTGTCTGTCCAAAACCTTAAAAAATTAGCCAGGTGTGGTAGTACATGCCTGTGGTCCCAGGTACTCAGGAGGCTGAGGCAGGAGGATCATTAGATCCCAGGAGTTTGAGGTTGAAGTGAGCTATGACGATGCTACTGCCCTCCCAGCCTGAGCAACAGTGAGAGACCCTATCTCAAAAAAGGACTAGCTTTTCTTGAGCTTGAGTTTACTTTTTAAAACACTGCTTTGAGCCCAGGCCAGGATGAAGTGCTTGGGACACCGCCCCCCCCCCACCACCCGGAGTTGGACCCTAAGCATGGCCTATAGGGAGGCATTGACTTTTGCTGCTGTAGCAGAGGGAGAAGCCACTCTGAGCTGACTGTGTCCAACCCAGGAATGTCGTGGTCCGAGAACAGCCTCCCAGGCAGCAGGGAAACCCAACAAACACCCGCTTTGTTCCTGCCACAAGTTTCCCTGTTTAGATTCTGCTCCCCCAGCTCCCCTGCCCAACCGGTTTAACCTTTCCTTCCAAGAGGCAGTTGGAGCCTCTGGGCCCAGGGGATGAAAAGGACATGGAGACAGCGGGAGGCTCCAAGTGGAGCAGCCCTCCACCAACTCACATCTCTCTTTCAGGGACTACAGCTTGGACAACCCAGGACTGGCCAGGTCAGAGGCAAGGAGGATATATTTGCTTGTGTTGTGTTCCTGGTGGGAACCTGGGACTTGCTCAAGAGAATAGGGAGAACAGGGTTGAGGGTCCGAGGCCTGGGGTTGAGGACAGGCATAGGGATGGGAAAGGGAACTAGTTTGGTATATGTCATCTTGCTCTCTGGGACTTGAAATCTGGAAGAGGGAACACTGTTCCATCTGTGTAGTCTCCACTGAAAGTCTAATCTGTTAAGTATAGGAGGAAGGGTTCTGATTTAGAGGGTAGGATAAACTTCAAAAGTCTAGAAGATCATACAGATTCTCCTTGATTTACGATGAAGTTACATCCCAATATGTTTATATGATAAAATAATTACATCAAGATGTAACCCCACTGTAAATTGTAAATAAGTTGAAAATTCATTTTAATACACCTAACCTACCAAGCATCATAGCAGAGCCTAGCTTACCTTAAATGTGCTCAGAACACTTACATTAGCTTACAGTTGGGTAAAGTTATTTAAAACAAGTCTATTTTATAATAAAGTGTTGAATATGTCATGTAATTTATTGAATACTGTACTGAAAGTAAAAACTAGAAGGGATATATAGATACTTGAAATATGGTTTCTAGGCTCGGCGCCTGTGGCTCAAGTGGCTAAGGCGCCAGCCACATACACCTAAGGTGGTGGGTTCGAATCCAGCCCGGG